AATTGTGATCAAAATGACTTTTTTTTTTTTTTTGCTTTGTGGGCAGAGAGGAAGAAATTCCCACTTAACAGCTGTCTTGAAGCATCCTTGTCAGCTAAACCAAAAAAAAAAAAAAACCCTCCAAACTCACTGCTGTAGAGTCAGTTCTTACTCATAAGCAACCCTATAGGATACCAGAACTGCCTCCATAGGGTTTCCAAGGCTGTAAATCTTATAGAAGCTGACTGACACATCTCTCTCCAGCAGAGCAGCTAGTGGTGGTTTCAAATCATGCCCTTTAGGTTAACAGCTGAGCACTATAACATCTGCACCATCAGGACTCCACCCTTGTCAACCTAGGCACAATTATTTCCTCTGCTCTTGGGACATTATTGATTTCTGCCCAACATTCCCCAGAAACTAAAACATAGAGGAAAGATGGTGGTGGTACTAAAAGAGACAGCAGACTGATAGTTACTATTTTACACTGTTGTAAAACAGAACTGTGTTTTATACCTATGATTTGTATTTGCTGCTACTGGTTTAATGTACTCTTGATAGTTAAATAGTTTTTAAGGGCTGAACACTTTCCCCCTCTTAGAACTGAGGGCTGGGGCAGCCCCTTCTTTACCTTTGCCTTCTCCCCTCCATGCTTTGGCACTTGCTGTTGTCTGGTGTTAGTCAGGACAACTGCATGTGTGCAGAGTAGAACTACTCCATAGGGCTTTGGAGGCCGTTATTTTCTAAAGCAGATCACCAGGTCTTTCTTTTGAGGAGCGTCTGGATTCAAACTACCAACCTTTACTCTTTGCACCACTCAGAGACTCCAGTGCTTTTTACGTATGGCTGACTTTAAAATTTTAAGTTCAAAGGTAAACACCTCTTAAAAACTACACCCCTACCCTCATCCGCTACTGGCCTTTCCTCATCCTAACATCACCACACACAACTCTGAGAGTTTTAAGTCACTTGGCAAGTCGCATTTCCTTTAGAATAAGATTATCTTGGGCATCCATGACAATACTGTGGAGAGTGTAGAGCCTAGGCTCCTTGGTCAGATAACCAGGTTCACATTCTTGATCTACTACTTTTCTCTGCGACTTTGGGTTACTCACAGAGCCTCAGTTTCTTCATTTATCCGCAAAAAAATCGTGTTTGCAAAAGCCGTTTGAAGGACGTTTTGAATCCAAAAGATTAATACTCAGTGGAACCCAGCCACTGCTTAATCCCTCCCAATGCCCTCGCTCTTTCTTAGCGATCCTTAGAGCTAGAAGGAGGTCCTTGTGTGGAGCAAACGGTTTGCACTGGACCAAAGGTAGGCGGCTGAAACTCACCCAGCAGCGACACAGAAGAAAGACCTGGCGACCTGTTTCCACAAAGATCACAGTGAAGAAAATGAAATCTAGCTGAGTTTACTCTGTAACACACTAGGTAGTCATGAGTGTGAATCAACTGGACAACAATGGGTATGTCTTTTGGTTTGGCTAGAAAGAGCCAGCTTCCCCCAGTAAATGAGGGCGCTCTTGGGGCTCCCGCCCCACTGGGCGGAGAAAGTCGTCCAAGCTGAAGGAAGAGCGGCCCGGAGGCGGGGAAGAGAAAGCCTTAGCGGCGCTCTAGCCGGCAGAGATAGCCACAATCCTCTCAGTTGTGCTCCCTCATAGGCTGAAGGCCGTGGCTTACACGCACGACTTCCGGGAGGGCTGGAGGCAGGGCGACTTCCGGTGCGGAGAGGAGTACTCAAGCTTGTCCGGCCCAATGGCGGCCCCGCTGCTTCACACACAGTTTCCTGGGACTGTGTCCCCTTCGGCCTCTGCGGTAAAGGCGCTGGGGACCGCGAGGACTGGGTAAGGGTCAGGGCTCTCCTTCTTTATGCGCGTTTGGAAGCAAAGCCCAGGTACGAGGTTGAGGCAGCGGATACGAAAGGGTCCGAGGTAAAGCTGATGAAGTGG